AAGAAGCCAACTCGGAAAACATGAAGGCGAATTTGGACCTACTAGAAGAACATCGAATTCGGTTCGAACTCAAGAATGCTGCATATAAGCAAAGACATGAAAAATATATCAACTCTAAACTCAAACCCCGTGCATTCCGAGTTGGAGATCTGGTCCTCAAGCGTATCATGGGGCCTGACCCCGGACCACTCAAACCGCGGTGGGAAGGACCCTTTCAAATCATCAAGATCCTACCTCATGGGGCCTACCGAATTGCTCATCCCGATGGAACACCACATCAATATCCTTGGAACGCGGTGTACCTGAAAAAAATTCTATCAATGAAGGATCCGAAGTCGCATAATCGACCCCCCTTTTGTGCGGACCTTCTTTTTTGCCTCGGTGAACACTTGAAATCACCTCTTTGGATGTACTGATGTACTGAATAGTCGAGTTGCAAGCTTGACGCCGATGTAAACCTTTTGCAAACATGGTTATCAATATCATGCCGAAGTAAACATTGCGACACTCGGCCTAGCTGATACCCTGTAATACACCCAAATCCCACGTATGGTTTGGTCGGGGTTGAAGCCCGTCAAACGCCACTTCAGCTAAAAATGATTTGGCGGGTCCCAATAATTACCGAACACTTATTCAAATAATTCGGTTGGGACCATTTCATAATCGGACTCTGACGAAGTCCGATGATTTCCATTTTATTTCCCGTACAGCCCTAAAAATGTGTTGAGTTTTGTGAAGTTATTGGAAAACTCGCATAATCGACTCACACTTGTGGCTGAAATTCTTATAAAAGATCAAAGTGAAATTCGGAAGTTATCTTTATAAAACCTTGCAACTCGGATCATGATTTAAGTAATTCCGAGTTGAAGCGGTTTGCTTTCTAAAAACCGAATTCGAAACACTTGGTCAAAAAATTGCTGAAATTTGTACAGCAAAACATACAAACGCAATCAAATATATTCAAACACTTCATATATTATTTCGAAATTCCGGGAATCCCTTACATAACATTTCATATTTCCTACTAAGGGAGTCGGCTATCCAACATCCCCGATTACATATCATGAACTTAGAAATATTTCCTACTAAGGACGCCGACATGCCGGCATCCCGATTATCTTACGCAAGTTCGATCAAATAAAAGAAAATAACAAAGACAAGAAACAGAAAATCAATCCCGGACCTCCTCGGTTGGTTTATCCACATTTTCCCCGGTGCCGCTGCCTTCTCCGACTTCAAGACCAGAAGATAATCGCTCCAAAACCTGCGATT